TAATTTGTCTAAGTTTTCCCCCCCATCTGAGTGTTGGTTGAATGACCACATATTTATGTGTAATATATGAGTCCAGTGTCAGGATATATCTATTTCTTATTGTAGACTATAATTTTAAAAGCTCTGATTCTGAGAAATACTCAGTCACCTCTGAGTTGATATATGCTAACTTAGGTCCTGCCTTGGATCCTATCACACTGTGAAATTGGTTTTTCATCTTTGCAATCACGAAATTTAGCACAGGGCCTTGCAGGGGGCAGACACGCAACAAATGATCACAATGAAGTGTGGGTGGTCAAGTGTGCATTAGGGTGGTGTGGGTTAATTCTCCCTGAACCCATCTGCATTTGCTGCTGCTCAAGATAGGCTGGGAGACAGGGAGAAAATAAGGACAAGAAATCAACTCAGTCCCTCCAGGAGCTTTAAAAAAGGAAACCTGATTTAGACAGAAACAATTATTATGCTTTCCAGCCACTCTACTGGGCAGAGGCAGCCTGCACGCTAAATGGAAAGACTATGTATAGCACATTTATAAAGTTTGAAATGTTATCATATAGCCACAATCTTGTTCATTCCATTTATAGGAAGTCTCTCTCTCTCTCTCTCTCTCTCTCTCTCTCTCTCTCTCTCTCTCTCTCTCTCTCTCTCTCTCTCTCTGTCTCTCTCTCTCTCCTTCTTTGCTCTGTTAAGAAACCATTTATTCTTCCTGATCCCTCTTGTTTTCCTCCCCCCTCCTCTTCTCCCCTTCTCTTTTTCCTACCCCACCCCACCCCCATGCTCCCAATTTGTTCAGGAGTTCTTGAAGACTGAGATAGGGGAGGAACAGAGGAGAACAAGAAAACAGATATCTTAATAGAGGGAGCCAGAGAAATCTGGCACTAGGGAAATGATCAGAGATCCACAAAGATGGCCCCAACTAAGAATCTAGGCAGTAGTGGAGAGAGTGGAGAGGCCACCTCTGATGCCCTTCCCCTATAAATGAGATTGATGACTGCCCTAATTGCGATCCTAGAGCCTTCATCCAGTAGCTGATGGAAGCAGGAGCAGGCACCCACAGCTAAGCACTGAACCATACTCCTGGGATCCAGATGTAGAAAGGGAGGAGGGATGAGCAAAGGAGTCAAGACTGTGCTGGAGAAACCTACAGAACCAGCTAACTTCACCTAGTGAGGGCACACGAACCTCAGTCATAAAGCTGGGGAACCAGCATTGGACTGATTGGACTGAACCAAACCCTCTGAATGTGGGTGCCAGTTAGAAGACCTGGGCAGTCTATGGGACATCTAACAGTGGAACCAGCATTTATCCCTAGTGCACAAATGGACTTCAGGAATCCATTCCCTATGGAGGGATACTCTCTCAGCCTAGATACATGGGAAAGGGCCTAGGCCCTGCCCCAAATGATGTGACAGACTTTGATGATCCCCATGGAAGGCATCACAATCCTTGGGGAGCTGGTAGGGAGTGGGTTAGGGAGGTGGTAGGGGGAATGGGAGGATGGGAGGGAGAGGGAATGTGGGTGTTGATATGTAAAATGATTGTTTCTAAATTAAAAAAAGAGAAAAAAAGAAACCATTTATTCTGATCTTGAGCTTCCATATAACATGGTTCATCCCAGTGAGAATCTAATGATGACTAAGAAAAACAAAGACAAGTTATATGCAGGTCTTTTTCCTGTTTCATGGTGAGAAAAGCTGCAGAACTTGAATTTCCCAGACACTTAGGTCATGAGATTTAATCCAGCAACACCTTCCCAGTGGGAGCTGCTCTCTCTGGAATGAGCTAAGTGTAGTCAGACTCTCGGCTAATAGACAGTCTCAGCTAACAGAGACAGCAAAGAGCAGATGAATCCCACAGCCCTGGCAGAGAGCACCTGGGTTCTCTGAACAGAAATGGAGCGTGCCACCTCCTTGCACCTGGGGAAATGTCAGACGCTTGTTATAATATATGAAAAAAGTATGCAGTTTTATCAATAGATATTTTTCCCTGTTAAAGCAGAATCACTGAATGGTGAGGAGTGACCAGAGTTAATTGACAGAAGTATCAAACTATTGCTTCATCAGGATGTTACATGGCAGCCTGAGTCCCTGAAAGGGAAAAATTATGAATCATCATACAAATAGTTGCTCATATAATCCAACTGGAGAGCATTATTTTGAGCTAAAAGGCCTACAATCAGTTTTGTTTAAATACACATAGGTGGTCATTATGTCTTCAGGGTAAAAGATGTCTAGACATCCGTCAGTCCATGAAGTCAACATAGTAACCAGCATCAGCAAGAACATGATGACTCTAAGGACAATATTTTCAGTTTTCTAATAAGCCAAATGATTGTGTTTTCAGGGTTGCTTATTGTGAAGGAGTATGGCTATCTCACTATTTATTTTTCTATTTATCTGTCTCTTGCAATGCAGGAGGTTGAATGGAAGGCCTAACACTTGTTAGGCAGGTGGTGTACCAGTGAGTTACAACACCCTTCCAGCCTGACACATTTTGTTGGTATTAAGGTAACTCTCTTCCTTTGAGAAGATGTATCATGTTATGATGACAGTTCATGTCCTGTTTGTGTTTTTTTTTTAATTTGGGGCAACTTGGTAGTTCTTAACTGAAGACAACTGATCTGGAACTTGAAGTATTTCCTCCAGTCCATGGTGAATTTAATCAAACAGGAAATGTTCCTTCTCTTGGAGAGCATGCATCTGAGAGAGTATGCTCTGAACGCTCGATCGCTAGTGTGTCATAGAACGTCCACAAGATAACTCTCCGTGAGGATGTGTCTCCCAGCATGTCCCTTCCAATGGTCCTATTATGGACTTTGTGCCTGGGAGATGGCCATTAATTATAAAATATAAAGAGCTGTTTTATTTTTCCAGATCCTAAATTATTTAAATGATCCTCTTTACAGTATATGCGTTATTTAAAAAATTGTTAAAATGAAAAGACCTTTGTTGAACCAAGTTACATCCTACCCCTACAATGATTTTTCTTTCAGTTCTGAATAGTTCATTTGGTGAAATGAAATCCCCATAGGAGGTGATTGAAGCACTCTTTGAATTTATTTTATTTTATTTTTTGTTTTGTTTTGTTTTGTTTTTTGAGACAGGGTTTCTCTGTATTGTTTTGGAGCCTGTCCTGGAACTTGCTCGGTAGACCAGGCTTGGTCTCGAACTCACAGAGATCCACCTGCCTCTGCCTCCCTAGTGCTGGGATTAAAGGCGTGCGCCACCACCACCCGGCCAATATGAATTTTTTATAATCATATTAACTTGTACTTGGGAGAATAGGTTGACAATAATTTCAAGTGGCTAGCTTCTGAATTGTGGTCACTGTTTTATAGCCACAGTGTTAAATTATCATCAAGATTCCTAATCTCTTGCACTGTAGAATCTCTACGGTCTGGTTCCCATCATGGCCTCACTTAATCCTTAGGGTTATAATGTGATATAGTCAGTTTGGTTTTTTTTCCTTCCTTTATTTTAAACAATAAACTAGAGCTGAGAAATAGCAAATGATTTGCTTATATTCCAGCAACTTGTAAGTGTCAGTGTCAGGACTCCTTCCTGGGACTCCTAACTGCGAATTAATAGCCTTCCCACCAAGGAGGAAACCCTTTATCTGGGTCCCAGGATCAATTCTCTTCATCTTCACGTTCCTCAACACCCCATGTTAGCAGTGCAGAGGCGGACAGTACAGCAAAGCACACATGATCAATGGGCACTCTCTGGTAAATGGTCTTTTAGGTTCAATTTGTTCTATCTGCATTGAGTCAGACAAGCACAAGCAGCCTCTGACTGTTCTGTGTATATGTGCACCAGTAAATGCTGTTGACAGACTTCTGTGACAAAGGTAGCACAGAAAACTTAAATGACGAAAAAGTCATGATACTTTTGACTTGGTGTAAACCCAAAAGCATCTCAGGAAAATTGTCTATATATCTATATGTATGTGGATCTGTCTGTATCTGTATATTGGTGACACATAAAATTTTTCTCAACCCAGTTTATGATTTTGACCAACTCAAAATAAGATTCCCTTTCATATCTTTTTTTTCTTTCACATGAAAACTCAGTTCAGACTAGTCAGAGCCATTAGTATGCCATAAGCAGTGAACATCTTCAGCTGCTATGGTACCATCTAAACAGACAGAGCATCTTCAGCTGCTATGGTACCATCTAAACAGACAGAGCCAGGGATCATACGACACGAGCTGGTTCTTTTTATTTATTTACTCTAGGTGCATGTGGTCTTTGCAACTTGGTGGCCTGGGATGGTCATTATAAGGGCATAATGAAAATTTCTGCCAAGGAAAATGGTCCTTTGCTTAGCTCAAACGTAAAGCTGCTAGGCATACTGCTATGAAATATAGGATTCGTTTATAACCCCACATGCTGGTTCTAGCAAGTCGGCTGCGTTCAACAGTTTCTCAAGGACAAGAGTGAATTCGTGCTGGCTTTCTATCAAGAAGCTAACTCCAAATAGACAAGAGAAACAAAAGCAAGAGCAAGACCAATAGATAAAAGAGCCCTTGTTAGTGGACGAGAGCCGTTGCTACAAATAGGACAGCGGAAGGAGAGTTGGGAGGGGGGAAGTGAAGCAAGGTCAAAGAAGATGATATCAATAGAATATCTCCAAATAGCACAGAATGCAGCAAGAAGTAGCGGCAGATGTCAGTCCAGCCCAGTGTCAACCCCCGTGGAGCTCTGTAGAAAGACTTGGAAAGGAACAGCATTGCTGCAGTTGGCATCAAGAGAAAGAGACAGCAAACGGTACCTTTCTCCCCAGGAGCTGAAAGCTCTGACTTGCCACTGGCCACAGCTTCATGTCCTTTCTGACTGGCCCCTTTCAAGCTTTCTGGATTTGGAGGGTTTGGTTTGGTTTGGTTTCTTTACCTCTTTGTTTCAGATCTTCACTTCCCTCCTCTCCTTTTGATTTCCTTTCCTCTTTCAGACTCCAGCCTGCCAATTCTGACTCTGATCCTCACCCTACTGGCTGTTTCTTACCTGTGCCACCAGGTACCAGCATCCAGATGCTTATCCTGGCCTCAGCCATGTTCCAGGGCCAACGACGCATCACTAGGAGAATATATTCACTGCAGTACTTTAAAAAATCCCCATCGTGAATTTAGACATTACTGGCATGGATTGACTTTCATAACTGTGGAGGAAAGCCAAAACTGCATAAAGGAAGTCTGTTTGCAGAGTTCATATCCCTTAATTTTAGTGAATGGATGTGGGTGTGTTGAAAACTTCATCTTTTAAGAACTGCCTAAATTTCATAATTATTTCATTTTCATCCGTTCACAGATGGTTTTGCCCTGAGTGTAAAAACTGAAGAGCCAATATAAAATGATGCTACCTTTCCCCTGGCAGTTAAAATTTGAATTGCAAACCTTGCTTTTCAGAACCTTGGAGAGCATCAAGCCCAGCCCTCCGTTTCCCTCACCCTAGCCAGTTCAGTTGTATGCTCAGTTCTCTTAGAAAATAAATAAGTAAATAAATAAGTGGAATGAAACAATAAATAATAAGTTGGCAACAAGGCTTGCGAATTCTGCAACAGAAATGCCTTCTGCAATGACCTACTTTCATAATTAAGTTATGCTGCATTGTGTTGTGTTGAGTGCCTGTGAAGGTGGGTGTAGAGTCAGCAAGACATGGATTCAAACCTCCTACTTTCTAAACCTTAGCTCTTTTCATCTGTAAAATGGAGTTGCATACATTAGCTTTCTCCCTCCCTCCTTCTCTCCTTCCTTCCCCTTTTCTTTGCTTTCATTCTTTTGGATTACATTTGTATTTAATCTTCAAATTATCCATCCACCCACCCAGCCAGTGATCCAGGAGGCTTTCTTTGCTCTGTGTATATGACTTGTCTTAGGAGAAGGGCCAAGAGAAGCAAAGCACAGATGCTGCCCGTAGAGGAGTCTGTTTCTTATGAGGGAGGAAGGCATAGAAGGCTCTATCTGCCACAGAATATGGCTTAAAAACTTCCAATCTTGAGCCCTTTCTGCACATGGGTACAAGGGGGACTATCCAAAATTGTTCTCTTTTTTATTTTGCATGATGGTTCCAAGTCCAGGAGCATTCTCTACCTGCCTCTGCCATCTCCAGAGGGAGAAGCAGACACAGAGTGGCAAATGTCTAATTCAAGACCACACAGCTGATGAGATAAGACAGCCAGAATTTGAGCTCTGGTCTGTCTGACCTTAAGTAATTATCCCTAATATGATGTCACTCAAATAAAAGAGTAACTAGTTCTTAAAATTGCATTCTCATTACATGAAATCATGACTATAATGGTCAGTCTTTATTGTCAACTTGGTGGGATTTAGGATCTCTTAAGGGACATACCTATGGGTGTATCGGTGAGGGTTATTTGAAAGAAGTTTAATTGGAGGATAGAAGCCTATGCCTGAATGTAGACATACCGTCCTGTGGACTAGGGTCCTGAATGAATGAAAAGAAGAAAGGAACCTAAGCATCAGTGTTCATCTTTCTCCACATCTGATTGCATGCAGACTGATCAGTGACCTCATACTCCTGTGCCATGTCTTTTGCCATGCTGAAATGTATCCTCTCTTAAGCAGTAAGTCCTTCTCTCCTATTGTGGCTTTTGTTGTGTGAGAAAAGTAACTACTAATGTAATGCCCAAGGAGCCTTGGGCAGCTGGCAGCTGCCCACTGATTCCAAGTAGGTCATTTCCTCTGGTTGGTAATAGTTATCGTAAGTAGATCAGAGGGTTTGGGGCTCTTCGAATGTGTTCTCTTGCTGAGGGAACAGAACCCTAAGAGTAAGACTATACTTTGGAAGGGGACCCTCAGCCTTGAAGCTTTGTGCTCTTGAGTATAACTTTATTTGTACCCTACCTTGAGTTTTATTTCAGATGTTTCTTATGTACCCATTTTCAAGCACTACCATCCAGTGGTAATGTGTTTCTTTGGTTTCTATGTCTCTGGTGATCTATTCTCACAAACAGCTGTTCCACCCATTCATGGTGGCTCAATCTTTTAGTTCCAGTCCTTGGGAGAAAAGGTAACAGGCCTGGCCTACATAAGGAGTTCAAAAAAAAAAAAAACAACTAATAACACAAAACAAACAAAAAAACCCTAAAGAAAACCAAACACATATACTAATTGGAAATGACCCTGGCACATGAACAAGATCCCTCAGGCCTGGACTTCTGATGAGGCTCTAGAGATTCCAAAGAACAGGCAGCAAGAGTCTGCCTAACGGCTCCTCGATAGCAGCAAAGAGAAATTGCCTTGGCTTCCAAGAGTGTTGGTGATGGTAGCAGTACTCAGTGCCCAATACTGGTTCTGTTGGGGCTGCTGAGATTTGTGTCTGGTGTGGTCACTGTGGGATCTACAGAAAAGGTTCAGGGGCATGATTTTGGCTGTGGTACTAAATGTGCAACCTCCCTTTACAAGTGCTCATTTTCTCCTGGCTATTTCTAAGTGTGTGTGTGTGTGTGTGTGTGTGTGTGTGTGTGTGTGTGTGTGTAGGTCACTTCTACACACACACTAGTGTATAAGCCCCAGAGTAATGTTGACTGCTTTCTTCTATCTCTACCTTATAGTTTAAGATGATGTCTCTCAGTGAGCCCAGAGCTCACCACTTTGGCTAGACTGGCTAGCCTGCAAGCCCCTGGGTTCTACCTGTGTCAGTCACCACCTTTGCAGCCCTGGTGTTATAGTATGCACTACCCTGAAGGCCATTGATCATGAATTCTCTAGACCCAAGATAAATGATAGATGGGTGTTTTATTGGGGAACAGCTTACACCGATAATAATAAAGAACCGCTGGAGCGTTTCTCTGCCCTTCTGATCCAAACGGGGAGAGAGAGAGAGAGAGAGAGAGAGAGAGAGAGAGAGAGAGAGAGAGAGAGAGAGAGAGAGAGAGAGAGAGAGAGAGAGAGAGAGAGCGCGCATGAACAAGCCCCACCTCATGCTTCCCTCTTTCAGGTTCAGTTAACACCTGAAGCCACACCCAAAAGGGTGTGGCTATTAACATAAAATGCATTGGCAAGGAAGATGCCACTATACTACCCTGCCTGACTTTTTACATGAGAGATGGGGAATTCAAATTTAGGTCTTCATGCCTACATATCAATTACTTTACCTACTAAGCCATTTCCCCAGTCCTCTCCTTTATTTCTGTTGTCCTACCAGAAAGTCTATCAACAGCCTACTATTTTTCTCATGTGTTTTGTTTTTGCTGAAAATAGCTAGTCATTCTCCCCAATCCCAATCTGTTTTATTTATGTTGATAAAAGGTCACATGCCCAGGCTGTCCTTAAAGTCACTACGTGGCTGAAGACAACCTTGACCTTCTGATCTGTTTGCGTCTACCTCTGTGAAGTGCTGGGATCACAGGTTTGTGGCGTCACACTTTGATGGGGGACATCCTTCTGTATGCTGTGAATATGTTTCTCTTAATGGTTGATAGATAAGGCTGTTTCAGCCAATGGGCAAGCAGGATTTATCTAAGCAGGAAATCCAAACAGGGATAGAGAAAGGTAACAAGTGGAATCAAAGAAACTCCATGTAGCTGCCAGAAACGTAGGACACCTGGGCATTTTCCGGTAAGATAGGGCCACATTACACAGATTAATAGTTATGGGCTAATAATTAAGAGAGAACTAGTCAGTAAGAAGCCTTAGCCAATGGCAAATCATTATAAATAGATATTACATCTCAGAGTGGTTATTTTATAGCAGTTGCGGGGACCCAATAAACTGGTCCAGTGGAACTGAAAAATCTCAACAACACCTAGTTTATCTGGGTTTCACGTATGCTAGGCATACAATCTCATTTAGTTCATACTAAGTGCCAACTTGCTTGCCGGTACATAAAGATGATTTGTACTCTAAGAAGCCATTCTCTGTTTTTACCCTGTGCTACCAGAAATTTAAGAGAATAATTAATGCTGAGAATATAGTAGTAAAGCACTTGCCTAATATGTACAAAGATATGGGGGTTCAATCCCTAGCACCCTAAGGAAATGGTGAAGAGGTGCTAAGTCATCCATGACTAGATAGTCATGCTCCAAGTCATGAAGAATTGACTGCAGTTTATAAACTTGGCATTGTATTTTTTTTTCACTAAGAACTGTGACTGCCTCCGCAGATAATCAAAGTTCCACACTTGGTGATTATAGGCACTTGGTGTACTCTCTGGAAGCCTCGTGCCATTCATCTTGACGTGGGCATGCAAGCAGGTGGAAAAGACTCATGAAGTGTTTCTCAGATCACTGCTGGGTCATTGGAGGTGTCAGTATGGTTAGTGTGTGTCAGGACCAGAACAGCCAGGCAGGTACAATTAATACCCTAGATTTTTGCCTGAAACCAGCCTCTTGTAAATTCAAAAGGAAGATTCCAAGCTGGGTGCAGTAGTGTACTTTTATCTCAGCACTTGAGAGTCAGAGATAGGTGAATCTCTGTGAGTTAGAGGCTAGCCTGGTCAACACAGTAAGTTCCAGGAACCTGTCTCAAAGGAGAAGAACAAGAAGGGGGAGGAGAAGGGGAGAAGAGAGGGAAGGAGAGGAGGGGGAGGAAGATGAAGCTGGAGTTTCTTTCCAGCCTGGTCCCATAGCCAATTAGCCCCAAATAAGCACATTGAGACTGTGTGTTCATTATAAACTGGTTGACTGATGGATCAGACTTCTTATTGGCTAGCTCTCTCTTAATTGTTAACCCATTTCTATTAGTCTAAGTATTTTCACATGGTCTTATCTTACCGGAGAAGGGTCTGGACCTGTTACTCCTTCCTTGGCTACATGGCTTCTCCCTGCAGCCTCTCTCTGTGTCCTTTCCCCAGCCTTCTCTGGTAGCCCTGCCTATACTTTCTGCATGGCTACTGGCCAATCAGTGTTTTATTCAGCAACCAACAAGAGAAACATATATACAGAAGGCATCCCCCATCAGGAGGAGGATTCCATATAGCCATGCTCATTATTGCTTTATGGTTTGGCATAGCTGGTTTCCCTTGCCCCCACCCACAGGTTATTTCATGTCACAACCTGTGTGGTGGTTTTAAATTGCACATGACTAATAATTCTTTGGAAACCCTGTAACATGCCTAGACTCTAGGCAAAAAAGCAAATAAATACATCAAAAACAAAACCCTACACTGTTTATTCACTCAGAAACATTTGGAAGGATAACATTCTTATTGGGTGCCTAATAGTCTTCTCTCAAATTAATCTTCCTCATAGCCAGCCTCCAAGATCAAAGGGCTTGATTAGTAAAAACTCCACAATAGGCTAACAACTACAGAATGCAATGGT